CAGCTGATGAAACTGTTTCCTGGATAAGTAATGTTATTTTAATTAACTAAGCTTTATTCATTTAATTTGAACTGTTTATCAACGTTTGTTGATGACATGATCACTTATTTCTATAGCTAATTGTAATTTTGTCAATATCAGTGATAATATCCTGTTCTTCCATATGCGATATGTTTCGAGAAAATTCTATTCAGTCTACTGAATTTATTTACAAATTAATTTTGCTTATATGAAACTTGATTATAGTAACTTCCGACTATTATTGTTTATCCAAGTAATTTAAGCTAATCTTGTATTTATCACATTTTTCAATACTACAAATTGTAAATAGTTGGCCTGTACTAAACTAAATAAGATACATCTATGTAACTCGGCTCAAATACTTGTTTTTGGCTGTCTTCAATTACTATGTTCGAATAACCAAAATAAAGACTATATCTTAGTAAGTGAATGAAGTCTCGTAATTCAGCGAACACAAATCATTACTAGCCTTTTTCGAAGTAAAGCAACTAGGTCAAACTTAACTTATGACAATGAATTTAACAGAAGCTCATCACGTTCATGTTTTTCCTTAGATCGATAGTCTGAGAGACTTAGAATTTCACATGGTATTATTTATTAACTATTAAAGTAACCTATAAACTATCATTAAATTGTTGATTAAATGATGTGGAAAAGAGAATGTGAATTTCTAAATTATCATATATCTACATTTTATTCGTTTTGCTTAAGTTGTATAAATATTTGCTTTGAAAAACTGGGCATTTAATATAGAACACAATATTATTGATTATAACTAATCTGTGATCTACTTTCTTTCCAATGAAATGTTCATAATATTTAGTCTCATTTTATGCTTAAACTGTTAGAATTTTAATTATCTGCATTTCATTTTGAATTAAGCTTTCTGATTAACGTTTTTTAGAGAGTTATTTTTTTTGGCGGAATGCGGTCGCCAACCCTATGCCCAACCCTCCTCTTTTATCCGGGCTTAGGACCTGCAGTAGTCCCAGAATGGCTCTAGGCGGAGTCAGAATTTTCAATACAGTTGTCTACGCAAAATCCTTTGCAACCGTTGGTCAGGTATCATCAGCAACAACTAACTGTAGGAGAGAACAAACCAGATTCCAGTCGAGGAAGCAGGCAGTAAGAAGCACTGCAGTTAAATAGGACACACATTGAGGAAGGCATCCAACTGCATTACAAGACAAGCCTTCACTGAGAGTTCTGAAGGCCAAAGAGCACATTGCACTGAAAAATAGGGAAAGACATGATAAGAATAAACAAAAAACTGGACAGAACTGGAAAGGGAAGCCAAAGATAGAGTAGGCTGGTGAACACTGCTCGGTGGCTTATGCTCTATTGGGGGTAATCGGATTAAGGAATTAAGTAACATTTCATTTTATTATTATTTAGAAGTAGTCTATTTGAGTAAAAGTTGACTTTTCATTTGATATAGAAAAAGTAATTCGTTATACTACGTTAAGTGATGACAGGGTGAGCTAATTGAAAATACAAGCTCTTAATAAATCAGAATGATATAAATTAAGTTTAGTCATTTAAAAATCAGCTTATGAACCGAAAATACTCTCATGATAGTTTAATGAAATGCAAATATTTCGAAAACGGAAATCAGCTATAATATCGATTAAGTGATCACTACAAAGATTAATCGGTGACTAGTTTGTTTTAGGATGCCTTAATCAGATTTCAGTTATTTTTCCTTATAGTAGCTTTGAGGAATTTCAGAAAACTAAAGTTTATTTGTTCAGTAAACCCCCTAATAATTTCAGATTACTTACAAGTCCTGTTTTATGCCAGACACATGAGAATTGTACTAGTAAGCATTTTTATTTAGTATTCTTGATATTCTTAAAATCGAATATAGGATGTTTTTCCGAACACTTAAGCTATTTTCGTAAACACAAGCAAAATTGTATACAAATAGAATTTATTGGATTCGGTGTTAGTCTTATTTGTAAATTACTGAAATTTAATAAGTATTGAAACCGTTATAAACCTGGAAGTACTGAACGGCTGTTTCGCCCTATTATGGGACTCATCAGCAGTGCCCATTCACGATCTTGACTCACAGGACCTTCAGTCTTGCTTGTGGACGCTTAACCTCTAGACCACTGAGCTGGCATCCTAGTAGAGTTAATGTCTAACTTCGATCAATCAACGGTCTTGCACAACCTAATCCACTGACTTTGGTGAGCACTGATTCACACGTGTACAGGGTTGGAACTCCATTGGCCACAAATTCTCACCAGAACTCAGAGAGTTTCATACTAGTGCTTCCAGATTATTAATAGTCGTCTAACATTGATCATTTCATGTTTTTAATCAAACTTAACAATTTCCACCATCCTATAGTGAACATTTTCAAATATTGTAGATCACTAAAGAGTCATCAGGTGTAATACTCATTTGTAAATAAGACTATTGTAATCGATTATGTAATGTTATTATAAATGATTCGAAAAACTAATGATTTCACACACATACAGGCCTATAATCAAAAATGAATTACGTGTTAATAAACCATCAAATTATAATTTTCCGTCAAAAAAAAGTTAAAATTTATTTATTGAAAAAATTCTTTTCAATGATATCATTTCAATTCATAACAAAAACATGACAGTTTGGAATGATTTATCTGTCGTCATATTTGTAACACACTTTTTGAAGTAACGGGTAATTTTATTCAACAAAAAATCATTCGATCGTAAAAAAGGAGTAAATTATTTCTTTTTATCATTCATAATTTAAAAAAAAAAACAGTTCAAAATAATTAATATCCACTATTCAATCAGTCTTATTGCCATTGAGCAGTCGAAATGTTTCTTTAAATGATGCTTGAAAAGTATTCAACAGTCATTTGGTTAGCATTAGGACTATACTCACTGTTTGATAACAAACTGTTTCAAATTAACATTCTATGAAACTGGGCAAAATGAGTAATTCATGGTCATTCAAACACAACTAGTACGAGAATCGACATGTTAATGACATTAGATCATGGTCTGATGTTGAATGGTTGAGTTAGTTAGTTAGCTAATTAAAATGAAAAATCAATTTTTCTATCCTCTTATTTGCAGTAGACATATTTTCAAAATTTCCACTGAAAATGAACTATAATTTGATCGAGAGGTTTGTTGAGATTAATTGCAGTTTGTAGTGGTTCAGTCAAGTACTGATATCAACCGAGGATCTGTTGAATAATTGTGTTCATTCAGTTAACATTGTCGTGCATACATAGTCTTTGTGTTAAGAGACTTAATACATCAATTACCAAATATTTATTGACTATGTTTTACTTCATTAGGAATTAAATTATTTTCTTCAAAACTTTTCACCATCTTAACATATGGGATATTAGAAAACTACTTAACTTAAGCCTGTTACCCCTAATGGTGCATAGACTGCCAACCAGCATTCTCCAACCTATTCTGTCTTGGAGCTTCCTTTGTAGTTCTGTCCAGTTGTTGTTTATGCCTCTCATGTCTTTCTCCATTTCTTCGCGCAATATGTATTTTAGTCTTCCTCTTTTGCTTTGGCCTTGAGGATTGCAACATTGGACAATGGGCATTTTAATAAAAATTTTTGATATGCTATACGGCATTTTAACTTATCATGACTACAATGTCATAAGATTCCTACACTATCCACGTAGATTGTAACTGTATTATTTTACAAACAAAATATTACCAAGTTATTAACTATACTAATAAAGTAGTTAAGCCTATTTTTAAATCAATCAGTTTACAGATAATTAGTGAGTTGTCAGTGATTGATATAAAAATTTTCAGTAGTTTGTTTGTGATCAACAAATAATTTATTGATGAAGTGGTTTTATGAAGATTATCTTATTTTTTTTTCCGTAGCATAATTTATGGAATTGTGGTATTTGAAATATTACTGCAAACTGAGGAGAAATAGAAACAAGGTTTGATTTGTGTATAGGACTGGTCAAATGCCTAATATGAAAATTAGAACAACACATATTAGATCGTCATCAGGCTTTACTCTAATATACGATCTAATCGAAAACAATATTGTTCGCTGATATGTGTTGTTCTAATTTTCACAATGGGAATCTTTAATAATCTTAAATGCTTAATGATTAATTTACACGTCTACTTATGTAAAAATTACTTTCTTTGTACAATTTTCAATATTGTAGTTGTATTATATGTAGCTGAAACTTTTAACTGAACAATAATTACCTCGCTAAGCTACATACAATTCCCGATTCAACATTTATTTGAACATTTAAAACTAGCAAACTGATTGTATGATTGCGCAATGTCGTCATTAATTTCATTAGATTATACGTAGATAGAGATTTTGGCAATATTTACTCAAACTTCAGTTTATTACAAATGTGCACACGAAACTTGCCTAGTGGTCTTTCGACCTCAATTTATTATGCGATTTACACTCTTTCAATGATGTAACTTATCTTATTCGGCTATATAGATTGCTGTGTTAAAAATCCTGTTAAATAAAGCCACTAAATGATAATGAAGTGAAGAAGAGGCCATGTTCTTTTTAAGCACATAATCTATGCCTTGGATGTCCTTTCCTTATATAAAGAAAAACTATCTATCATTTCAAATTGCCTCCTTTAAATATTCATAAACTGATAAACAAAGGAATAATATTTTATTTTCAAAAATTAATTTTTTGTACCTTGCTAAAAATTTTTCTTAAAATCTCCACACTACTTAATTCATCAATAACCGCACTAAATTAAACATTGACTATGTAATAATCTCAACAGAGTAAACCACGAAACCAAATACAACTTATCTATAATATAATAATTGGAACAATTGAATACCCTATTTTTCTCTCTATGTTCAATAGAATATGACAGATTGTTTTATCTTTAGCACATAAGCGATAGGTAATCTAAAATGCTGTTGATCTAGTTTTATTTTGAATTTTAAAAACGAAATTACAAACTGTATATTTTTGTTTTATTAAAAGAAAAAGTTCAATTTTTCCCTTATTTATTTATTTATTGAGCAACAACAACAACAGTAGTATATATATACATACAGAATCAACCAAAAGAATGTAGTTTCACTACTAGTAAACAAATTTGATATGTTGCTTTGGAAATGAAATTGGTTTTTTTGTCTCATTTATCCTGATTTGAATAATTGCACTGCGACATTTTGTAAGTAGAAATAAATGAAATGATTTGTTTCATGTGTAACGTAACTAAAAGAATAAAAATAAAAAATATTTCATTTTAAAATTTAATATGAATAATAATAATGTGATTGGTTGAATATGATTTTTAGAAAAAAATTCAAATTATCGCAAATTGTAAATAAATGGGAATTTGACACTTATATAATTCAAACAATCATTATTGATAATTTAACCATTATATTAAGGAATCCATTGTATTTATAATCGAAAAAACAAAACATATTGACAATTGAAATAAGTAGTAGACAGTTATTGTTTAAATTATGAAACGTAATGAACATAAAATTAAAATTTTTTACTTTCATTTGATTTTTTAAACTAATTTGGCAAAAATAAATTGTTGATTATGATTTGAGTGATTTTTCTTAGGGGATATTTTAAGGAACTATTACCTTCAGAGCGTGAGTTCCAATCATATTGATTGATTCAATAGAGTCAGGAGTCAAGATCACAGTACGCGAATAGATTAAGTTTGTTCTTAATGTTCGAGATAACATAATTATACCACATTTTTCGTTGAAAGATATTACTCTAAAAAAATTTATATGCTGGGTGAAACAAATAGTTTCATCTTCTGCTACTGAGTAAATCGTAAAAGATGTAGTCAGTTAAACGATTATCTCTGGCAGCATTTTGTACTGTCTATCTATTAACCTTAAAAAAAAGTGTATTCAAACAGAACATAGTACAATAATACACACATATATATATATAAATATATCTATATATACATATACAATGATAAATAGTTACCTTCCAAAATTTTTGCCCACAATACAATGCCATGTTGGACTATATTTCTTATCAAATTCTTTTTTAATAAAACTTGCAATATCTTTTTCAATATTATATTCACCCAATGCTTGTGCAGCTATATCTACAGCATATTGTTGCATTTCATCAGGCATATCAGCATTTTTCACAACAGCTTTTTTACAATCCATTTCTGATCAAAGTTTTTGATTGTCGGTTGAATTATTGAAAATTGAACGAATAATCACTAAAAAGGAAGGAATATGTTGACTAAAATGAAATTCTTATCATTTACACGAATATATATATATATATATATATATATATATATATACATACATATAGTGTTCATGTATACTGACCTGAAATAGTTAGTACAAGGTTTAATTTTAGTAACATACCTTCAAGTAAGTGAACAATGTCGTTACATGAATCTACATTTTTTTTTCTTTATTGTGTTATTGTTACAATTTAGTTAGAAACGAATCAAAACTATCAAAAAGATTGGCTAATTAGAATACACATGCAGAAAACTACTACTGAGAATATGTAAACTAGACAGGATTACAGTCACTAACTACATAACAATGCATGACATCCAAACAAACATGAGTTAAGCTGAAATCGAAATCAAAGACAAAAAAAAACACAATTATTTTATTCAAAACAAACTGTATGTATCTATTTATCATTTATTGGTCATAAATGTTTAAATTTAGAGAATAATGAAATAACCTTATATAAATGTATGAAAATGAATCATAGTTATTTGGCTTAGGATATTATTTCATGTGTAAGTTATTTGAATAATTTTTATTAAAGGAAAATGAAATCGAAACAATAAAATTTGAAATGTAAAATAAATCAAAGTTATATGTTAATGATTCAATGAAATTGGACAAGTTAAGTTATTTAATCAAATAAGCGCTAATTTCAAAAAGAGTTACTTGACAATTTCCACAACGCCGATAACGCAAATTACATGTGCTCAGTAGGGACTAGTTTTGTGAGAAAGTTTCTGCGAGTTCTAGTGAGAAGTCGTGACCAATGGAGTTTAACTCTGTTCAGGTGTGAAGCACTGCTCACCGAAGACGATGAATCAAGTTGCACAAGACCGTGGAGTGATGGAAGTTAGATGCCGGCTCATTAGTCTAGAGGTTCAGCGTCCGCGCGCAAGACTGAAGGTACTAAGTTTGATTCTAGCAAATAAGTAGAGTCGTAGATGGATACTGATGATGAGTTTCACAGTAGGACTAAGCAGCCGTCTGGTGCTTTCAGGTTTCTAATGATGGCCTAACAATGATCGATTCATGACTTCAAATAGAAATCTCTGAATTGTATAAAATCAATTTATCACTGATAACTTGTATTTAATAAAATGTTTTACTGAATAAAATTGTTCTAGCTTTAAAATAAATTATGTAAGAGATTAATTTTGATAACAGCGCTTGCAAAATTGTTTCAATTAACTACGTATCTAGGAAACGTTAGGTTGTACTGCGACTTAAACCTCAGCTGATATACATCTAAATTGGTTTATTCGGAAGTAGTGACTTACATTAAGTCATGAAATGTCACATATACAAATATTTTTTGAAACCATGAATCGATCAATGTTAGACCACCATTAGAAACCTGGAAGCACTGGACGGCCGTTTCGTCCTGGTATGGGACTCCTCAGTAGTGCGCATCCACGACTCCTGCACCCCGCAGGATTCGAACCCAGGACCTTCGGTATTGTGTGCGAACGCCCTAACCGCACTGCTGAGGAGTCCCATACCAGGACGAAACGGCCGTCCAGTGCTTCCAGGTTTCTAATGGTGGTCTAACATTGATCGATTCATGGTTTCAAAAAATGTGTAACTTAACAATCTTCACAACCCCGTAATGCACATATACAAATAGTCACTCGCTGGGATATCACCAAACAATTACAATATACGTTCCAGCCTATCAATGCCCAATTGATTTGAAACTTTCAAGTCCAACTTTGGTTTCTGATATTTATAACAAATATCGACCTCATTGTTTTTTATTCGGTACATTGATGAATCCACAACTCATTTTACTAATCAGTTGTTCGACAATGCACACCATTGACAGAGTAGTAGGTCATTTATGTATTTCAATGATTAATACACTAAGTATAGCTTACTAGTTATTATTCTACTGTTTTGTAAAATGTTTATTTGAGTAAAATACATCATTTCTAAAGTAATTGTTTAGAAATTTTCAGAAAATTATCAATGATATCAACTAGTAATTGAATTTCGAAAACATATAAACAAAATATTTAAATTTTGTTAACTCAGACTTTACACTGATAGATTTGATGGCATTGAATTCCCACATAATCCCAATTCGATTCGCTTAATAAGACAAGAATAAGAAATCGATTCTATTTATTCAAATACTATATTTTTTCATAAACTTTGCTATTCTTTGACAACTGTGAGCAGTAAATAGTTTCATTTCTTCAATGGATTCACGATATTCCCATCAGCTAACATTTTAATCTTTACATAACTGACTGCCTAGAATACAGATTCCACTTTTAACTTCTAGAAGTTTCTTTGAATATTGAAAACAGAATTTTACATTATAGTAACAAGTGGAGTTCAACCTTGTTGAGTGTGGGCAATAACTACTGAAGACAGTAGGCGAAGTTGCGAAAAAATCCTTAGATTAATAAGAGTTAAACATTAACACCGTCAAATATTGGCTCAGTGATCCAGGTGCTAGGCATTCAGGAACAAGACAGAAGGTCTTAGGTTCGAATCGTGTGCGTAGCAAGGGTTGTGGATGCAAACTGCTGATGAATCCCATACCAGGACGAAACGGGCATCTAGTGCCTCCACGTTTCAAATGGTAGTCTAACAATGATTCATTCATGATTCCAATGTCGAATACAGAATTGTCAAGAAATAGTTGTCAAGGCCGTCACTTTCTATGCTTGAAACTATTACGGGTTAACCCTGGTCGATAAACGAGAACGAGGCAATGAACGGTGTCCAGGTAGGCTACTCTGATCCGATTACTAACGAAATGTCTTGACATACCTTACAAAGTATATTCTACAAATATCCAGCAAGCACAATGATATCAAGCACACAAATCGCGTTTATTTATACATCATAGAAACGTCCTTGCGAGAGTGCCAAGGATTTTCCTGGCGGGAAATGTGATCTCACGGTCAAATGACCAGCCCATGAAAAAATCCAAAATTAAGACATTTACCAAGCGAGTTCTGGAGATCTAACATCCCCGACAAACGTTCATTTTAGAAACAAAATGTTTTTTTTGATCAAAATTACGAAATATAAGATTTATGTATTATTCTTTGAGCAATTATATCGTTTATGTCAAAACTAGGGATATTTTCATATTTTCTTTAAATAAACCTAAATGAAAATTACTAGCTGTAGCGTAAATTTTCTTTCTTAATCTTCAAATCATACTGAAATTGAACATTGAACAAGTACCGTCTTACAATCAATCTATCATCAATGATCAATATTCACCGATTCCTTTTTAAGCATATCACATACAAGATGTTTTCTTTTAAATCTTTGATAATGTTAAGAGGAGAATATTTGGCAAATTAAAATAAAACTTTCCATTTGATTGATTCAACCTGTCAAATTAAATATTTTCAATAGTTTTAGAAAGACAAGAAAAACTCTTACCGACACGTACACACACACACACACACATTAGGATTAAACACAAAACAGATACAAACAAAAATGAATTGAAAATGTCTTGTAACAATTTATCTATATTCAATCATCTTATAGATTCATTAATTCAATAAACGTGTGAGATACATAGTTTTTTTCAAATTATTGGAAAAGACTTGATTCAGTAAAACACTTAAAAAAAACTTTAATTATTTTTCGTAGAAAGAGACATTTTACAATGTTTGTTTTAACAACCATTGATTGATAATCAATAAAACTACTATTCCAAGTCTTGCATCATATTCCTCTTAGTCATGTGATCCAAACGAAGCTTGCGACAGACATCAAACCTTGTGTACACATAAAACCATGCGATTAGATTTGATTAGATTAGATAAGATTAAATTACTTGTAGTTTTGTGTGATAAATACATATCGTCAGACAAATAAGCGTAATATTCAATGTGGTGTACGCTTTAAAAATTTTCACTGATTATTACTTTTTTTTTTGAATTTTATTATTTTCAAAAGTTGAATAAAATTACAGACTGATAATAATAATAATCTGCTTTGAATTACACAAATCTAATTAAATGGAACCACAAAAAGTTATTGTCAAAAGTACTGGAATGCCAGATGAAATGCAAGAACATGCTATCAGATCATGTTTGAAAGCAATGAAAGTTCTACGTCATGATAAAGATGTGGCTAGTGCATTAAAAAAAGAATTCAATGATAAATATGGACGTACATGGCATTGTGTTGTTGGAAGTAATTATGGAAGGTAATCAATCTATTTTTGCTTTTGATTTGTTCGTTCGTCTTTTTTCGGAATTCTTTTTTTTTTTGGAAACTAAGCTTGATTGGCCTTTAAGAGTATTGATTGATATGTGCTGCTTGTAGAAGATATAAGTGCTGGCAAATGAGCACTCCATGTGATGTTATTCTTTCTATTTGGAAAGTATTAGCTAGATGCATCTGTGTTAATGTTCACAGTCCAGCTTGAAGTTAAAGTCAATGCATAATCCATTGAAATAATGATTCAGACAGTAAATTATAGTGATAAGAGGCTATTGTATATTATTATTTGAAAGTTTTATAATCTGATATGAAATCTTAACTTACTCACATCAAGTAAACATTTACTCTACTTTTTCTATACTATGTTTGAATGATTGTTATTCATGAGTAAAAGTTCACTATGTTGTATTATTCGGTTCACCGAAAATTCTTTGTTAAGTATAAAATTACACTATAGCTAATAATGAAGATATTGATTTTTTTAAGCAGTGAATAGAACTAACAAATGATAACATTGATTTCGGAGCCTCATAAACTGATTCTGTTTTCGTATTTATCAACCATTTTTTTAACAAGGGCAAAACTTTGGTTATACGCAGGATAAATAACTGTTTATAGTTTTTTTCAATTAGCTTCTCTGTTGTAGTACATAAAGTTTGTTCTGAACAAAATGAATATTCATTGTTGAGATGGTGGACGGAGAAAATTTGTAGTTCATGTAGATGATTATGGTGGTGTTTCGTTGTCTGAGCTGGATGTTTTGGTTGTGGAACTGTCATTGTTCTTCTGCTGAACAACGTCATCAACACAAACTTGAGATAGTAGAAGTGAAGTATTCGAACTTCTCCACGTTTGACTAGTAGCTTATCTTGTTAACCTCGATCTTCATTGAATTTTTAATGGATATTTTTAAAGTAAAAATGTCTCGTCGTTCTAGTTAAAAATGTATACATACAAGAAATAATTATACTCAAAAGTTAAAAATAAATAATTTCAAAAGGAAATATTGACAATGACTTATTCAAACCTGTTAAATCTGAATATGATAGATAGTCAGCTATCTTACGTATTTACTTACGCTTGCTACTCCAGCATCCTCATACCTACTCTGTCCTGGGCTTCCATTTCCAATTCTGTCCAATTTCGGTTCATTCTTCTCTTGTCTGTCTCCGTTTGTCGGCGTAATGTGTTCTTTGGCTCTCCTGTCTTCCTTAGACCTCGAGGGTTCCAAGTGAAGGCTTGTCTTGTGAGGCAGTCGAGTGCTTTCCTCAACGTATGTTTTATCTACCTACAGAGCTTCCTGATTTCTTCCTTCACTGGAATCTGATTTGTTCTCTCTCACAGTAGGTAGCTGCTGATGGTGTCTAGTCAACGGATCCTTAGTATTTGGCACAGACAACTGTTAATAAATACTTGTATCTTCCTGACTATGGCATTGGACAGTAAGCTAGCCTAGTTGAAATGTAAGTGATATAGTGAACTGATAGATAAACGTATAACTAATTTGGAAAAAGACGTTTTCATACATCTGAAATAATTAATTGATAACTTCAAAGAAGTGTTTTCATATTGTTAATTTTAATGATAATCTTAGTAAAAAACCCCAAATATCAATCATACAGTTCGTTTTCCTTACTGTTTTATTTTCGTAACCTTTTGTTTTTTTCAGCAATGTCAGTCATGTCGACGAAGGATTGATTTATTTCTTTGTTGATAGAAAATCAGTTTTATTATTTAGAACAGAATGTGTTTAATTGTACTTTTCATTTGTCCAAGAAACAAGGTGAACAGTAAAAATTTAATTTTTTTGGGATAATTTCAAATTTCTTTTTTTTTTTCAAGAGTTAATTGTACGCTGATGGCTTTTATTGATCTGATGAACACCGGTTCAATGTATAATTACAGTTTGTAACTACTCTGAGATGTATAGAAAATATTAAATTTTGTTAAATAAATATCAAATTTATTAGAAAATATCAATAAAGATTTTGTTATTGTTTGAAAAAGAGGACATATGTTCTTCAAATACATACTCTGATGAAGTAGTCATTGAAATTAATCTTATTTACTTATTTACTCCTGTTACCAATAATGAAGCATAAGATACCAACCAGCATTCACAAACCCAATCGATCTTCAGCCTTCTTTTCCAGTCTTATCTAATTACTAACCATTCGTTTCATGTCTATCTAGAATTCTCGGAGTAATATGTTCTTTGGTCTGCCTCTTTTGGCTTAGCTTTATTAAAATAATTCGATTATTTATAAATAATTAAAAATACAATTAACTTGTCTTATTAACAGTGGATTTTAATCTACTTGGATCTGTCAAGCTTCAGATGACAAAAATAATTAGTTAAATCATAGAATACAATGAGTAACTCTGAAATAATTCGTAGCCTATCTGATGGGATCACGATAAATCGGTAAGATCATTATTTTAAAATAATAAAAGTAGTTATCATGAAGCCCTATATTAGTTATTTTTTAGGTAGAACTAATCTCGAAATTTATGAGACCTCAGTTGTTCTAGAAAAAAAAAACTGTTTCCTTAACATCTATAAACATTTTTAAATACTCTATAATGTATCCATGAACTGGATATCTAGCATTAATAATTTGAACCGTTCTCACAATAATGTCGACACTAACACGTAATGTAACTCATATGAATGTATAAATGGTCCAGAAAATCGAATGATTTAAAACTTTATCTAGGAATACTTATTTTTAACTAGTTAAACAAAGTTCAATGCAAAGTAACTTTGAATAGTTCATTGTCCACACTTTTGGTAGCTAAAAATGATATATAAAAATGATATATCATAATTCTATAGTTGCCATCTCAGAAGCCCATGGAACCTTTCATTTAGACCTAACACTGTGTGGAATCCGTTTGAAGTTGGAATTTGGCAAGCAAGTGTGGACTCATATCCAGTATTTTACAATGACTTCTAAACTTACGAGTATTTTCGAGCTAATAGCAGCAAGTATGTACTGTAAACTATATTGGAACTTAATTCTAAGTATAAGATTGATAAGAGTAAGCTTAAAATCTGGTTTCCCAATGACTATGGATAAGGGATAATAACTGGTAACTTTTGTCATTAATATAAATTCTACAAACATATTTTCAATAGATTTCCATAGTATGGGAAATCAACACTCTATGCCACATATAAATAACAAGATTTTTCAAAGTTAACTTAAATTACGCGGGTGTATCATGATCTTTATTAAAACTGGAGCTTTATCATTGTTAAGTCAAAAATTTACACATTATTTCAAGCTATATGTAATCAAAATACTTCAGATCCGTTCGTCAGACACCATCAGCAGTCACCTAATATGGGAGGAAACAAACCAGATTCCAGTGGTGGAAGAGATCAGGAAGAAACGCTGGAAGTGGAAAGGACACTCTTTGCGGAAAGCACCCAACTGTGTCACAAGACAAGCCCTCACATGTAACACTCAAGGTCTGAGGGAAAGGGAAGAGCCAAAGAACCAATTAAGCCAACAAATGAAGACAGACAAAAGAAGAATGAACAAAAATTGGACAGAATTGGAAATGGAAGCCCAGGACAGAGTAGGTTGGAGAATACTAGTCGGTGGCTTATGTTTCATTGTGGGTAACAGGCGTAAGTAGGTACGTAAGTAAGTAAGTAAGATGTAACCAATTTCTTTACAAATTTTGCACCAGTTATGAATGATTCCATAAATACTAATTAGTAGGAATAGAATCTCTCGTCTAATGTTCATCAACTCATAAGTGCTTGAAAAAAACATTGGAAAATCGGCATCATTTATACCATGTTTCTTATTCTCAACAGATAACTATTGATTATTTCAAAGGATCATAGATGTGAACAATTTTATAAACAGAACATACAGTTTGTTAGAAATCTATCTTAAATCTATTTTCATGTGATTTTGAATGATAACACATAATTGATATACTGTATATGCAAAAAATTGACTATCATTGATGATCGTGTGCTTTGAATTATGGATAAAATCAATTTCAAGATCAAATTCCATACTCACACATTGAAATATGCTACGATTATCTACGAAAAAATCAAATTAACTACTTATTATTGATGATATACCATGTGTGGATACTTTACTAAAAAATAATCATAATTTTTTTCATTTGAAAACAATTAATAAAATTTGTATATCACTAAAGGAAATCAGAACTGTGATAGTTCGTTATTTATGATAAGGAAGAATTTCTCCAAATCATTGATTGGAAAGATTTTCAAAATGTATGCATAAATTCATAGGCTGATGAGACATTAAGCTGAGAATGATCTGAGTGATGCTGTTAATGAGTTGTTGCCAGTGACAGACATAAGAGATGTTGACTGATGATTGATCGAAACACTTGGAGCGAGGAACATCGGATAACTTTTAACTCAACAAGCTAAAGCAGTGTACACTAATGAGTCTGCTAGACATCGAACCCAGAAACTTATCCATCGATAATAATAAGGCTTTGTTTATCTGATAACACATTTAAGTTGTGATGGACAAGGTCGGATCAAAAAGAAATTAATGATAGGTACACATCGTTGATGAGTAAGAATGAGATAACAATGCATACAATAAGTGAATTATGTATGAATCGATTATTTACACTATCGAAAAAACACATACATCATTTAAATTCAAGTCCTCGGGTAATTCCTGATTTGGAATTCTCACTAAGGAGTTTCACTACACAGAAGTTCAAATACAGCTGAATATAAGACAACCAGAAACTCAATGAATAGTTTCATAAAACATTACCAGAGCTTATTTGTTGACTGAGTAATAGATGTGTTAATGATAAAAAGCAGCTGATTGTATAATGAGTGTGTGATACATTTGAACTCTTAACTCGAGGTATCATGTAACGAAAACACTTCTTTTTCTTTCAAGTTATGTGTCAGTGACAACTGGATTGAGTCATGTGGATAAGTGTTGACTCTCTGGCTGACGTCCACGAGATGATGGTAATCGACCTTGAATAACATGACTCAAAACCGTTTGCAATGATACAGGTGCATCCATTCTTTGGCTTTATTCAAATTATAATCCTCTTAATTCTTTACCACCTTTATCTTTCTCTTTTCAAGTCTATTTCACAAAATTCTACTTATTGAATAATTTCTCCGAACCCTAGTCACTCCGATTAATGTCAATACTTCTACCATCTCTACTACTATAGGATTTGAAGTGACAATTGCATCTCTATGCTAATGTGGTATGGCAACTTGAACTGATGTATGTACGTACGAAGTTCTAAGTTGTAACTGTGATATGCTCGGAAGTACTAAGGAGTTCACTTTACTTGGGAAACGAAACGAAGATCACTGATTCAGCGACACAATAGGCTACTCTAACCCGATCGTTCCAGGCCCCATTAACTGGAGAAAGAAGTCTTGATAAGACGTAGAGGTTGTATTCTACAGGCACCCAGAAAGGTTGAGATTTTTTAGAGCACACATCTCAAGCTTGTTTATACAAATGATAAAGCGCCCTTGGTGAGAACCACAAAATAGAGTACTAAAATAATCCGTATTTGGAGCGAAAACATAAAAATCCAAAATTTCAGAAATAAATTAGACAATTAGGACCTTTTCCGAGTGAGTTCTGGGTATTCAACGTCCCTAACTAATTGACTGACTGACTATATGTTTAAAAGACCTGCAGGATTGAACATTCTCTATGTGTTATGTGAATAGCTTACTAAATAAATTCGTTTCATCAATATATTTATACCTCGTGAGATTAGTGTCGGTCTTAGAGACCTGGGAGCGTGACCGAAGAGCCCAAGAGACAACTACTCCAGGCCGGTCAGCCTTTTTATTAAAGGGTTTTTGAATATTAGCTTCGTTCTTTTTAAAATCCCTTATTGGGCAGTCCTTACCCAAGGAGACGGAAATCCGTGAGGTAGGGTGAGGTGTGGCATTTTTACGGTCGACCTTTTCTAACCGTTCCTTCCTTGTGAGAAGTCAGCATCGCTGCAGATGCTGGTTGTCCAAGGGAAACACCTTACTGCTGTCACACCTTTCTACAGTTAGCAGTACGACTTCACCCTCATACCTTGAGTAACTGCTTTTAGTCTGATCGTTCTCCAATCGACCTGCCTGGCATAGTAGAACCTTCAGGAACACATGTTCCAGCCAATATAGCTCGGTCGGATCATCACTATAGGCAAACCCGACCATCACATCAAGGTAACAGCAGCGGTCGGCAGTTTACTTACACTTAATGAATAATTCCATGTATGCCAGTAAATGTTAATTTATTTATACGTAAACTGACATTTACTGACATACACGTAATTATTCATTGAAAAATTAGAATTGCAAACTAGGCAGAAAACAGTTGTTAATAGTTTCACATTTCAGACAATCTATAGTTAGACAGTCTAATTTTTTACAGCTAAAACAAATTGTTTTTCAAATGAAATTCGATTATTATTATTATTATTATTATGCAAATTGACTCTATGCTACTAAAATGTACTGACCAATGCAATTAATAATGAATGATATGCAAATGAAGTCCACTTCATCATGAATGCTAACGAAAAGTTACATTACACTGTTATGAGTAATTTTGAAAATTAGATATCGATGCGAAATTTTGAAATGTCCAGACAATATGGCTTGGTGAATGAATCGATTGAAGTGTGAATGATGCATGAAATCGACTGTTTTCCAGACCGTGGTATTTAATCATATCTTGAGAAGTAGTTACACAAGTCAGTTATATATATATATGCGGAAGAGTATTGATTCAGTAAAAATAAATCAAGACGTTACAGCGAAGAAACTTATTTTTTCGTGTTGTGCAGTTGTATTTATAGGTAATCTTATATGTTATGGTCTACGGTAAACAAGAGGAGCTTTACAAAACTCTTTCCAAGATAGTTACACTTAATGCAAAGACAATGCAAATAAAGTTGTGTTTTGTGAGTAGTGTGGTCAAGATTATCACAAGTAGTTCAATTATTGAATTATTGAATGTACAAATGGAAGCGTGTTATTCCAATGTAATTAAAACTTTCAGCTATTGAATAAGCAAGTTATTTCATCATTTAGTAAAGTAATAAAAATTACCAACAGCTTAGATAGAGTTAATAATTTACCGAATAAAATTTATCCATAAATATCTTATTTGAAAAGGAACATAAGATGAAACCAATAACTATAAACTAATCACTTGTAAAAATTCAAATGGTTGTTAATACCAAAGGAGAGTAGGGAAATGAATATAACTCTTCTGTTCACAGAGGTTACGTTTGAAATGATGATTTTCTATAGTCTAAGCTGTGCACAAATTATTCATCCAAATCTTTTATTCCCAACCGGTTCTTTCCACTTTATAGAGGATTAAAAAACAACCGATTCACGCTGTCATTTGTGATGCAAGTTCACCATATATTCATAGATTAAGCTGTTGGTCGATTTGCATTCTTCTTTGAAGAAATATGTAAGATAGTGCTGAGGTATCTTTTTACGAAGTGTACGTTTGTTATGGCCAATATAACTTGCTCTACGATAGCTAGTATACATATTAGTTATAGACGCTTAATTGTTTGGTACGGTAAATATATATTCACGTAGTAAGTTACTGACGAATCGATGTTCAGTAATATTAAGTTCAAATGAGATAATTCCGACTGTTAATTTGACTAATTCATATAAAAAGTCATTTATTCATTTAAGATGTTCACTTTCAGCTTGGAAAGAATAAGAAACTAGACTGCCTGCATCTATCCTGACAACTTCACAACCAAACGACCGAGCTTTGACAACAAAGCTCTATCATAATCACCCATCTGGGTCATAAATTTTCTCTTCAACCTCACTGGTGGTCTCTCAGTTGATATAGATTTCTTTTGAATGTGTTGACAGATAGAATTTTAATCATGTGTTAAGTTGACGAGTTTCATTTATGGGTGATTCGATTGGATAACTGATAGTAAACAGACAACTAATTCGTCCTGAGTTGACAAACCTTGTCCTCTTAAATTTTCTGCTTTTATAGACAAGTAAAACGAATATATGTCTGGTTCAAACTTATCACCAGATATTCTAAAAACTGTGATCGATTCGCTTCTGGTTGTTTCATCTGTCAAGCGAAGTAGGCTTAGTTTAGCAGTTTCGCAATTCCAGGAATAAATTTAGTTGCGGTCCTTGAACCTTTTCCGATAGTTCATCGGCTAATTTTCCGCAGCACTCAGGCTTAGGACAGATGAAGACTGTTTACAAAGTCAAAAATGTCTCAGCATTCACAAGGCTGAATGCTCTAGATATTGACTAGAGGGTTCTAAAATCCTAGGCATCTATTGCATGGTAGTCGGCAATAATTTTTAAGTCTTGGCTAAAGATGACACCTAGGTCATTGTGTATCTGGACAACACGAAGTTTGATATTATTTACGGTACGCGTATCCGTAACTCTCTGGCCAATATGCGCCATGATGCCTTTAAAAGTGTATGTCAACAAATGACAAATTCTAGACCGTACGGATAATTTCTGCTAATCGTGTTATAGCTGTAAAGTATCACTTTCATTTATTTTGGATGTCGAATAAACTCATGTTACTAACCTTTGTGTTCTCGTTAAGCGACACTAGACTTAGGGTTTCAGTAATTAGCAAAAGTTAGTCAAACATTACTAAAACATAAGTGATTATCTCTTGTTAATTTCATCGTAAATCTAGTGAACACAAAGAATAACTCGAAACTTTAGGTTTGAGTTATGTAACTACTTATTAGTAATGCGTATAACATGATCACATTTTTAAACATTCTGACTAGAGATAGCTTTCAGTTTGGTTTGTTTTTGCTTAAACTAATCAATGTTAAAGTATCATTTCTACCTCTAAAGTTTAACATACGCTTTCCTATTCTAATTGACTCCGTTGATCAAAACGTTTATCAAGATTGTCGGGACTGAAATTACCTTGTACATTGTGAACTGTGATAAAAGAATCTTTTTAGTATTATATATGTTGATGAAATATTTGGATAAAACTTAAAAATTTCTAGATCTCTAGATAATCTTAGGGGACTAATTTCTATTTAAAAAGTGATATCAAAGTGATATTACCAGAATTATTCGAATGGAAACATAACACTTCAACTTATCCAAACTTATCCAAATTACAACTACCACATTTTATCTGTGTACAAAATTATTAACTAGTTCCAGTAAACATTACGGATTGTGAACCGAATTGGGCGAAATGAAAATAATCCAGTATTTGTACAGTAAGGCTATTACATAGTGTAGTAATGTAAAATTTAAAATTACATATATTATTGATAGTAGTGCGAAATCTTCAATTTTTTTCACATAGATGCTGTTTGTCTACAAAATATTTTACTTGTGAAGATTATAAAACTACTTTTCCATTTTCGATAAGTTATTACACTTTAGAGATGTTCCATATACATATATATATACTAAAAATGTAACGTTAAATATATGACAATGTGAAACAAAATCTTTAATGTACTTAATTTTATCAACAAAGTGACATGAGTTGCTACTGCACAAGGTCACTTAACAGTATGTAATGTAGGAGACTCATAAGAAATTATTTCATCTTACGTTGCATTTCCGAAATAGAATTGTTTAACGAACAGGAATACAGTCCTTAAGATAGTCGTATTTCACATTAACTCAGGCGTTTCAATTTCTGGCACTAAGGTCTTTAGTATACGAAAGTAATAAACAGAAGACATTCCGCTTAAATATGGTGATTGGCCTGAAAGAAATGTCCTTCAGATTACTAGATTGCTTTAATTATATCCTTCAAGAAGAAATGTCCTTTCATGGTGGGGTGACCGGGATAAAAATACTACTTTCATATAGCTAAAAGCATAGAAAGGAATCTTGTACAACCGCTTGTCAAGGGACTGCTGACGAGATTAGTGTTAGATTAACTAGTGGAATTCGTTTTTAAAACCAAAGATAAAGAACGATTCTCTAATGCTGGTTTACGAGATTTCAGAGTAAACTTTTATATAACATTTTCTATGATACAGATTTTAGAATACTGGAAAACGCTTCATTTTCGTCTCCTGATTATTGCACTGTAAGGCGTCATCTTGTAACGGTTATGAGGACTAGCAGCACATGAAGTTTACGAATACTGGCCACCACAGAACTGGTGAGCTTACATCCATGATAATTTAAATGTAACTGATAAGAGTATTTCGTTTACTTGAATAGTAGCTGAAATGCTTTCAGGCATCATTCTACTATCCCTATTTTAGATAATCTAAATGATAATGACTTGACTTATTAGTTAAGCAGTTGAAATCATGAAATGATTTTAGCTAGACAACAATCGAAAACCAAGAAACACTGAATGGTTGTTTTATCCTTCATATGGCACTTCCTATCAGTGCACACCCCTAACGCCACACGCAACAGTTGAACGCAGAACCTTCGATCCAGGCGTGAACACTTGACCTATAAACTACAGAACTGGCATCTCGAGCTTAATAAATAGATTGATTGAACTAATTTCACTAACCATGATATCGATTAGTTCCAAAGCTGAATTCAAAACCAAGTTCTTTAGGTAATCATAAGCTACTTGGTAGAGAAAACAAGTAAAATGAAATTTCCGAACAAGAGATATAAAGTTTCTTTGAGAATTTACTCAAAACTTTGATTATCCCCTGAGTTTTATTTCTATTTATATATAATAAATCTTAACCGACTATTCTCGCTTGTTAAGTTCAATACTCATCTATCACTAGGAAAATATACATCCTAACAACACTAATCTAACATCAGTCTTCTTTCTATCTACACACATCCGTACTAATTTTAAATGATATTTTAAACAATCGTTTGAATTGTTACTTCGTCCAATGCAACTTTTCAAATTGAATAGTTTTCACCCATATACACGTGAGTGTGGACATGTAGTCAAATGACATACACACACAAGCACACACACACACACTTGAAATAGTGCATTTGGACCGATTAGATTTTCTTTCTGTTGACCATGCTGCATAAGTAAATTTCAGTGTTGTTGTATTAAAAAAAATATAGATAAATATTCAGATGCTTTTTTTCTTTTTTTTTAAAAAAAAGGTGTATGCCCATTTGATTTCTTATACATTCTACACTCACCTACACCCATACATACACATACACACAAAAACAATCAAGTGCAAAACCATACACAGACAGTCATGCCTTACTTAATATATGCGCATAAATAGTATATTATTCAAATTATCGCCAGTAGTATGTGTTCAACAGATACATATTTAACTGTGTGTTATATTCAAATTACACTGTTTGTGCTCTACTACTACTACTACTACGTTTTTTTTCTCGGCTTTCACATATGGCAATGATCATCGTATAGAATACTGACTGTGAATAGACTAATTATTACATCATCAAGATTTAAAAATGGCTGCTTTGAAAGCAATCATAAAAAGTGTTGATATGCCGGATGATATGCAACAGGATGCTGTGGATCTGTGTGCAATAGCAATCAAAAAATATTCAATGGAAAAAGATATTGCAGCGTTTATGAAAAAAGAATTCGATAGAAAGTATTTACCAAGTTGGCATTGTATAGTTGGATCACATTTTGGCACGTTAGTTCATATTTTCAATATAAATATATTTATATATTTATAATAATTGTGATCGCTTTCATTTTATATGGCTAGGATGAATTGATTGTGTGTTTAAGAATGCGAAATCATGAATCGATCATTGTTAGACCACTGTTAGATATGTGCAAGACCGAAGGTCCTTGGTTCGATTCCGGTGAGTAGTGGGAGTCGTAGATGCGATTTGTTAGTGGGTCACATACTAGGACAAAATGGACGTCCAGTGCTTCCAGATTTCTAATGGTATTCTAACATTGATCGATTCAAGATATCAATAAAACTCAGTAATCTCTCCAACAACATGATGAATATTTGAAGATTGACAAAATCCTTTAATATCTTTTAATTAGTTATTCATTGCTAATTTTTTCCGAGTGATTTATACGCTTTCATGTTGTATAGGTGAATTATTAAGGTTGTTTAGATGAATTCCAACGATTATGAAATTTGGAATAGGATGTTCAGATTGATTCTAAGTTTTATATTCATAGTGACCTCTTATACATTTGAAACATAATAAACACCTAGTCAAATTCATAATTGTATCTTGAATTGATATGACAAATTAAAACAAACCATTGAATGAGCATATCCGAACTTTGGTTATGTAACTGTATTATGAGTGGTCATATTGTAAGTTTTCGAATGAAATTAATTTAATCCTTTTGTCCGTATACATTTTCTAAACATTTGGGTGTACTCAGTTGCTTACTTACGTCTGTTACCCCTCATTCATCATAAGCTGCTGACTTACATTCTCCAACCTACTCTATTCTGGACCTCCTTTTCCAGTTCTGTCCAATAACTATCCAGTCTTCTCATGTCTGCTTCCCATTGTCGGTGTATTGTGTTTTTTGGTCTACCTCTTCTCCACTGGCATTGAAGGTTCCAAATGAGGGCGTGTCTTGTGATGCAGTTGAATAATTTCCTGTACACCTTCAGCGTGTTTTCCTAATTTCTTCCTCAGCTGAAATCTGATTGAACCTCCCTTCTTCATGTTACAAGGGTTATAACCAAGAGTGGGTAGCGGCGAGTAATGGAATCGAAGCTGTGAGTTTCGTCCAATTTCGGTTTCGTCAGACGGATGTACTTGCGCCTGAGTTGATGTTTACTCCAGGGTTTCAATTCAGTACTTTTCGCGGCCAACTCCATGGAGTTATTCACTTAATTACTTAGTGAACATCAACTCAAAGATTCAGGTATAACATCCAGCTGATGAGTCCTAAATAAGGCGAAAAGTGCGTTCTGGAATCCACTGCTAGCCACTATTCACCTTTGCTAGTAATGTTTTTCAAAATATTTTATTACTTTACTTTTTCATTAAGCACAAAGTAAACAAACCGAACTAAAATTGTACTTTGAGCACATAAATTGTAATCTTCAGCTTTATTCGCTGGTAAAATAAGCATATTGGGGCACAGTTTTGGAGGTTTGCGTTTTTACACATTTGAAATCATTAATCAATCATCATTGTAACTACCAAAGACAAATGGGTGAGGTCGCACAAAATCCCTAGATCAATCAGAGTTAGACATTAACACCGTTGGATGCCGGCACAGTGGTCCGATGGTAAGGCGTTCGCCTACAATGCCAAAGGTCCCGGGTTCGAATCCTGCGAGGAGCAGGAGTCGTGGATGCGCACTGCTGAGGAGTCCCATGCTAGGACGAAACGGCCGTCCAATGCTTCCAGGTTTCTAATGGTGGTCTAACAATGATGATTGATTAATGATTTCAAATGTGTAAAATAAGCATAATCAATTTCCGTAATTTTAAAACTAAATTTATATGATACAGTTTAAGTATTTCTATCTCAAGTAGTTATAATTAAGAAAAGAGATTTTCGAGAGAAAAAATTAAATTCAGATGAATAAACATGAAAGATTGTGTTACTTTTCATTGACCATTGTTGATTCAGTTTTGCTTCGCTGATTTTAAAAGAACCTTCAGCACTTTTATTGAAAGCATGAACAGGGGGCTCTCCGTATAATTTGTATGTCCACTGATAGTTTATTAAGAGTGCAGTTGTTATCCTGAAGGACCTTATTCCTCAACAAAAGACCGAACACATGCTACTTATAGCCAATAGTTTTAGCTATAATTATCAAAACTCAGTTAGAACAGATTTACCTTTCTCAAGGCCATAATAATTGCACTGATCAACCGATGAGAAGCAACCAAATTAATTTCATTTATTCTCTTATGATTAATTTCCCAATATTGCTAAACAGGTTAGGAGTAAGTAGCTTTACCTATTACCACATATTTTGTCAAAATACAGATTTCCTAGAACCAATAGTTCGTTAACATATCTTTGGGTTTTATCTATTCCAAAAATATTCGACAAATATCTTTCAATAGTTAATATCTCCCTTATTATTGTCATTGGCAAAAGCCTTCTACATGTCTAGGTGCTACAGAAATTTCTCTCTGATAAGCATAGAACAGATTCTTCAATACTTGTTTCTTGTTTCTCTCATCGACGTACAATCAAGAAACTATGCCAACAGTTGAAGTGTTTCCAAATAAATGTTTCAATTTTTAGCCACCATTTTTTTTGGAAAAATATAAGATTTCAAATTGTTAGTATTTTTATAAATTATTCATTTCAAACAAATCTAAGCGACAGAAGTGTTTTTTTGTTCAATCATTACAAAGTTGACCAAAATGTCTGAATCCACTCAACAGAATTGTATATTTTTGATAAAACAATGAGAAGACCTAAGTAATTTGAAAAATATCGTGATGTATTTGCACTATACTTATTTCGAACAATCTAGTCACACATACATGTACACTTGTCAAGGTATTTTATATGAAATTAAAATAAAAGGTCAATGAAATCAATGTTCAACTAGACATAAGGTGATAATTGTAAATAAAGGAGAGAGAGACAGAAAATTAACGTACTATTGCAAATAATAAGAAAGGGTTGGAAATACATCACATTTTCCAGATCAATTACATCTTCTTACTGTTCTGTCAAAATGTCTATTTGAACAGTGCTCACTAGTGACTAGCTTCGTGAGGAAATTCTCGGAGTTCTAGTTGAGAAGACGTGACCAATGGAGTTCAACCCTGTCGGGTGTAGGCAGTAACTATCAAAGACAAATGGGTGAGGTCGCACAAAATCCCTAGATCGATCAGAGTTAGACATTAACACCGTTGGATGCCGGTCCAGTGGTCCGATGGTAAGGCGTTCGCCTACAGGGCCGAAGGTCCCGGGTTCGAATCCTGCGAGGAGCAGGAGTCGTGGATGCACACTGTTGATGATTCTCATACCAGGATGAAAAGGCCGTCCAGTGCTTCCAGGTTTCTAATGGTGGTCTACAAATGATTGATTGATGATTTCAAATGTGTGAAAACGCAAACCTCGAAAACTGCCCCAAAATGTCTAGTGTTCATTAAGTAGCGATGAACCCACTACAAAGGACATCATTACAATAGTAAGAATTAAGCATCATGCACTAAATATCTTAGCTTCATTCAGTGTTCAGCAAAAATTCGAAAAAAATGTAAATGATAGAATGATAATATTTTGGACAAATATTTGTTGATTCGCTTTTAGGAGTTTTAGTTGATGCGATTAAAACATATTTTCGACTGCCTTTTAGTTCTACATTACGAAACATCTTTGACAGAACTGTAAACGACAGCACTAATAACAACATTAATTGATTTTGCTACATATTTTCACTTTGTTCCATCATATTATTTAAATCTGTGTTTATTTGTATATTCGCTGAAAAACAAAATTGGCTTACACAAAGTCATGAAACGTTAGAAAAAGTTTTGATATTATTAATATTCATTAGGATATTACAAATATATTACCTTGTGTTATTCATATGGTATCCGGTTCATTTAGTAATGCGTTGATTTTATTAAAAAATTTCTCATACCATGGATAATTGTTATTTATTGTGGAAAACTGCTTATGATATTGCAGTTTCTGAAACGATATAATGGAGCACCTAATGAGTATTGTAGTGCGTGTACTTTTATGTCAAACCTACATAGCTTGTCTCAGTTTTATACACTCTCCTCGTTTTTTGAACTTGTCAGTCATTTGCTTATATCGTCGTCATTTTTATTCGAGTGTATATGTGTGTCACTTACTTCGTTTACTACACTACTAGCTTATTGCGTTAGACTATGTAAAATCTTGGTCATGCCTCAGTACATCGAGTTGGATCGTTGGCTTTCTTCACTTTTTCTTCGCTCTGTTTGTTCGCTCATGTCTGTCTGCACATACGATTACCTGAAATAAACTCACCATACTGAATTCGTATTTGGTTCCTTATTACCGCGGTTCGCTTAAGTATGATATAAGGAAACTGAAGAGGAGATTTATTTCACAGCATACTCAAATGGTCTTAAATAAAGTAGTCAGATCGCCGGCCACTAAAATAGTGAGCCTCGACATAGTATCCAACGCAGTAGCACAGTATCTATAATATCTCATGTCCATAATAATGTTGAAGTAGAACGTTATTTTCGTAACATCAACTAATCTGACGAAACAGACTGCTATGTCCGTAGCATCAGTATTATATCATCAGTGTAGCTTGTATTTACTCACCTAGAACCTTCAAACGATTCACTTTCATGATAGGACATTAATATATGAACAGATTTCAATCATAAATGAAGAGACTCATTGAACCCTTGATCACTTTCCACCACTCCACTACCCAGCTCATCATCCCTAACATGCGGAAGTTCAATACATCTTCCCTAACTAATCTTACTCTTAACTTGTATAGATTGGTTTTATATATATGTCTTATTACCATTAATTCACTAATTAAATTTGTTACAGATTAACTTATCATCTATCATCTCTTTCAGATATATTTCACATGAAGCTCGGCATTTTATTTATTTCTTCTTGGATAATCATGCTGTTGTGTTATTCAGAACTGGAGCAATAAGTTGAAATCAAAAAAGTACGAATGACGTCACCGTAATAATATGAATCTATTCTATGATCAATAAACGGTGTGTTTAAATTTATTTATTTTCAAGGACAAATCTAACAGATGATTGACAACTCATTATTTATTTGAAATGTCTATAAGTGCACTTTATTTGTTTTGTTATGTATAACAAACTGATTGATTTATCATCAATATGGATTTCGGGTTTTCCGAGATTTTCTTTGATATTTCATTGCAAATTGGTGAAAGTTAACTATTTTTTTTTGAAAAAAATTAATAATTAAGTCTGATGAATTTTGTGTGTTTTACGGTTGTTAATAGTTTGAATTTGATTTCTGAAAAATATTTATATTTCAGTGATGTGTGTGTGAATAAAATCATCTTTGCATGAATTATTTTTTGATAAAATAACTATGCGTATATCGCTGTGGAGTATCATGGCTGTCGGTAACTACATCTAGAACCAAATCACACTTGATGGAGATGCCTTGGAGGATGTAAAAACCTTTACATATCTATGCAGCATCGATGACGAGCAAGGTGGATCTGATGCAGATGTAAAGGCGTGGATCGGCAAATCAAGAGCTGTATTTCAACAATTGAACAACATCTGGAACTCGAAACAACTGTCACCGAACGCCACAGTTAAAATTTTTATAAGACAAATGTCAAGACGGTCCTACTTTATGGAATGGAAACTTGGAGAATCATGAAAGCTATCATTCGGAGGATACAAATATTCATTAACAGTTGTCTACACAAAATACTTCGGATCCGTTGGCTAGACATCATCACCAACAACCTGCAGTGAGAGAGAACAAACCAGATTCCCGCGGAGGAGGAAATCAGGAAGAAGCGTTGGACGTTGATAGGACACACAGTGCGGAAAACACCCAACTGTATCACAAGCCAAGCACATACTTGGAACCCCCAAGCTCAAAGGAAACTAGGAAGAAGGAAGAACACAACATGCCGATAAATGGAGACAGACATGCGAAGAATGAACCACAGCTGGATATAACTGGAAAGGGAAGCCGAGGACAGAGTAAGTTGGAGAATACTGATCGGCAGCCTATGATTCATTGGGGTTAGGAGGCGTAAGTAAGTAAGTAAGTTGTACTTAAGGATTTATGAGTACACTTTCAAAACATTGATGGTGCTATATGACTTACTACTCTAAAGATACTGCCAACCAACATATTTTCATCTAGCTTTGAAACAATCCTAAGTATTTTGTTGGAATTCAGTTTATGAAGATAAAATGAATTCGTACGAAATCGTGGTGATGTTAAGAAAATTATAAAAATAGAATGTTCCCTGAAAAGAACTAAATATTGCACGAAATATGAAAATGGATAGTACTCTACCTTTCTAATTAATCGATGATAAACAAGGAGGTTGGTTACATGAAACTCTCTGTGTTAATATGCTGTTTTATAATAGCACAACAGTTCTACTTTTAAGCTTAGTTGAATTTCAGTCAACAAATTGTACTCAGTGATGATAAGAGCTAATAATATATCTGCGACTTCAGTCTGTCTGATTAAGAGAATAGGCAAAGAAATAAGTTATCTTCCTAAAATCAAAAGAAATGTTTCAGAAACCATAAATTTGCTAAATTAAATTTCACTTATTGACCGATATTTTAGTAATCAGTCTCTTAGAGAAATGAATTGTATAACTGGTACCATATATACATATGGTCTACTTTTTGTACATTACCAAACAAATGAATGTCACCTTCAATTATCATGCAAAACTACGTTATTCTAGTGAATTCTAACGTTTGTTTTTTGTTTCACTGATAAATTTGAATGGAATTATTCATTAGTTCATGATAACGGGTAGATAGATCAAAGTAATAGAAACACTATTTGCATAAATTATTTTAAATTTATTCAAACATTGAATTTTTCCAAAAATTATAATTTTCTAAAGAAGCGTATACATTTGGAGATGGCGGTGAAGATTTGTAGCTCAGGTGGATGATTTTGGTGGAGTTTCGTTCTCTCTGAGCTGGAATTTTCATTATTATTCTGAACAAATCATCATGACAAACTTCAAGTAGAGTAGGGAAGCTTATTCTGTCAATCTCAATCTTGATTGGTTGTTAATGACCTTAAACCTGTAATTGTTTGCACCTTTATTTTGATTGTATAGCCCTTTCGATCTGTTTCTTCATTCTATGTTTGCCTATAATTTTTGTTAGTAGAAAAAAAACAACTGTAGTGTGTGTTCTTCTATTTCAAGTCAACAGCGCTTGTCTCAACCTATGGACAGTTTAATCAGTCCATTCTTCTGGAGTTATTATTCATACGTCTTCCGACCTTGCCAACTATTCGATTTCATCTCAGTTGATTCTATTCTAATATGTGCGTGTGCATTGCTTATTTCATGTCTGGTTAAATTTATCTGACTCTAAATACTGGAGACATGCTTCATCTCACTGAGTTGGCTCAGTCGCCTTCTCCACTTCACTACGCTTTACTTTTACGCTTTGTATTCTCATGTCTGTCTTCGCGAACGATTGCCTGAAATACACTCATCCAACCGAATTCACATTCGGCTTCTAATTACCGCCGACGTATAAACGAGGTTCACAAAAGTATAATCTACAGAAACTGAAGCAGATATTTATTTCATAGCACATTTGATTATTTCATAAATATCGGAGTTACAACATGGACCACTTTAAGAAAAAAAACCTTTCAACTGTAATAACAACAATATAGAACATTGATAACTCGTAAAAACAACACAAACTCCAAGAATTCAAATTCCAATCATTTAGATGATCGAAATTCAATGTTTCATAATTAAGTCGTGTAATGATTTTGTTTTTGAAAGAAACTATATAAAGAGAAATTACAAATTTAAAAATAACAGTACAAGATAAAATTTAATAATAGAGTAGTAACTGTGAAAGGTTGAATGAATATGAAACCAATAGAAATTCATTTTAAATCATCGGAATTTTAGTGTGAAACCAGGTTATTTAAGAATTTCTTGTACAAAATTAACTCATTAATTACAGTTTTAAAATATCATTGGGAAAATTGAAATATTCAATTTTTATGTGAGCGGAATTATTGATATGTATGGACAAATAAATTAAACGCACAGCTGTTTGTGAAATTGAAGTATGTTAAAAGCATTTTATTTAAGGCGAGAAAAAACTAGTAAGGAATGCAAATTGTTTCACAAATATATTTACTTAATTCGTGCATCGATAAAGCAATAGACTGACTTCACCACAATGTATATAGATGAAACATTTCTCATCATGTGTGATTGATCTGGAAGACAAAAAGAAAGGTAGAAAGAAGTAGAGAAAATTAGACTCAAGATGAGCGGAATTCATAATTTACTTTAAAAGAATTTATGTAACAAATTAATATTGGTCTCCATAATCTTTTAATGAAAATGATAATACTATGCTCACTAGTGACTAGCTTCCGGAGCCAATTCTTGGAGTTCTAGTGAGAAGCCACATGGTGCGGTAGCTTTGTTATATATATACTCAAAATCTTGTAAGGTTTTGAAACAGGATCATGAAAAAATAGAGGCTACTTCGTCACGATGTCGTACCTAACAAGATAGTCAGCATCATACAGAATTCTAGTGATGGATGAAACCGAAAGATCATATTCGAGGCACTATTTACAGACTCATTCTAAAGGGGAAACTGGTATCAGATAAAGTTTCTCATTTTCCGTCTTTCCCTCACTTCTAGTGGTTAATTTATCAAGTCGAGTTAATATCTCATAAGAATCCTCAAGGCCAAAGGAAAAGAAGCAGATAAAAGCACAGGTTGCCCCAAGAATTGTAAGCAGACATGAAAATAATGTACAGTAATTGAATAGAAGTGGTAAGGTGGTCCGAGGATAGAGTAGGGTGAAGAATGCTAGTTGGTGGTCTATGGTCAGTAAGGGGTAGCAGGCTTTAGTAAGTACGTAAGTACATGTAATTCCCATCGGAACATAGATCCTAATGTATTAGGAATTTCTTTCTTTGAATAATACAGTTTATGTTGACATTTCAATGAAGGCAGCTCATAAGGATTGTATGGACTGACGTTCAACAATAGGATTGTTTGAAAATTAATCTATTTTAAGAAAATGAGATACTGGTTATACAGAATATCAAATATTTATTGGATTATCACAAATTATTCATCACACGTAATAGATTTATTCATTATGTTCATGAACTACGTTTTACTTTGAATCAAATTAAAGCAAAGAACATTTCCAATAACATTTCATTGTATAAATTAATCTACCACTGTTCATTTGTACATACGTTTGTTAAATGATAGAATATTGACACAAGCAAACAATAACAAGTCAATAATCAATAATTATATTCTGTTCTTATAGCACAGTAAAATAGCTCGCTAATTTACATACATGAACATAAACTGCGTAATCAACAATTTTAGTAATTTTTATACAGTTTCTGTTTGTAAATGATCAATTCATGAAGGTGGAATTTTGTCTAATTTATACTATGTTCTATGCTATACAAATAAATATTTTGTTTATAACATGAGAAATTTGATCTGTTTGTTTTACTGTATTAAGGATTAACGCGCGAATTTCTGATTTCAATGTCCAATTCAGTAATCAAGTAAAACAAATTAAATAACATTAAAAATAATATTTGAAAACTAATGAGATAACTGAACTATATAATAATAAACTTGAAGAATAATCCATTATTTACAGTGACAGTACAAGATTTGATCAAAAGTTGGATAAAAATATAGTTTAATTAAAACTGAATCTCGCATGAATCGATAACTGTCTATTTGATCTACTGATCTGATTAAAAAAGAAACAAAGAATATTTAGGCTTAGTGTTTACCGAATCTAAGTTTAAATACAAGAGATTATTTTGTTGATATTTTAAATAAACTACTCTCATGTTATACTTAGTTACTTATTTATATCTGTTACCATTGATGAAGCATACACCACCGGCCAGCATTCTCCTGGGCCTTCCTTGCCACTTTTACCTGAATGTCATCCATTATGAGATGGTGGAGAAAATTTGTAGCTCAGAGAACGAAACACCACCACAGTCATCCATTATTTTCATTTCTGTCTACAGTTCTCTACAGTTCTTGGCCTGGCTATTTTCCTTTGGCCTTGAGAATTTCAAGTGAGGGCTTGTCTTATGACTCGGGTGATTTCATCAATATGTGTCGTATCTACCTCTAGCACATTTTTCTAATTTCTTCCTCTGCTGAAATCCGGATTATTCTCTACCACAGAAGGTTTTTTTTGATATCTCGCCAATGGATTTGCGGTATTTTGAGTAGACAACTTTTGATACATACTTGTATCTTGTAGTTCTCCAAGTTTTCGCCCTACACAGTAAAACTATCTTGAGATTTGTAGTGAAAATTGTGACTTTGCTGTTCATTGACAGTTATTTTGAGTTCCAGATGGTCTTCAGTCATAGAGATGTTGTCTTTACTTTGCCGATCTGCGCCTTCGCATTTTCATCAGTCAGTTTATCGGTGATGCTGTCCAGGTATGTAAAGGTTTCCACATCTTCCAGACCTTTCCATCTAGTGTGATATAATTGGTGCATTTTGTGTTGTACCGTAGGATCTTACTTACGTTGAGATATATTGGTGCTGAAGCTGCTGGTACTCCGTTTGGTACTATTTATTAGGTTTAATTTTGGTCTTAAACACGGTTGATGGAGGACGGTTAGGCATGTTTTTATTGATCTCATCCGGTAGAAATCCAACTTGTTTAATAAACGCCAGCCAGAACAAGTATTGCACATTTTGTAGCTTCCAAGCAAATCTTATTTTTGCTAGATAAATGTTATGCAAAGAGAAATGATACTGAGAATAAAATCCCTTTCATACGCTTATTTCATTTAATGGTTATTGATTCAATAAAAAACTTAAAGTAAATTGAATTTATAGCTGAGAAAATTACGATTTAGATAAGTTCACAATTAATTCAAAATCAATAAAACATTTGATATTGGGAAAATCATTCAACTTTTATTATAGAATGAGAAATAGAATGATTTTCCTGGTTAGCGTTATTTTTAGCGAGTTAGTTGTTTTATGGCATGAGGCCGCCAACCCTATACCCAACCCCCCTCCTTTATCCGGGCTTGGTGTTACGTATGCGTGTAGACATGTCATTTGATATGCTTGAACTATTACGAGTTTACCTTCGTCAGAAAACAAGAGCGAGGATCGAAGATCTGGCGACAAGACACGCTACTATAATCCGAGTGTCCCAACCCCCACTAAATAAAAGAAGAAGACTCGATATGAAGTAGAACCTGTACTCTACAAACATCTAGAAAGTACGAGGTCCGAGTCCAGAAGAGAATAAGTATCCCGGACTAGTAATCCTGGTCCGGCTCATAAAACGTTACATATAAGGCGTTTTTATACATTTAGGTCGAATAGGAAACACTTATCAAAGTCTGTGACATTGACTATTAAGGCAACCGGTAGGAAAAAACATTTGAAGTACGTGACATTGATACCTAAGACGATCATGATATTGACCAATGTGAATCAACCCATAGAATTAACACTTACAAAATGATTCTTCATAGGATTTTTGGTGAATATCCTAACACTTGTGACTGGCAGTAGGTTAAGTTAGGAAATAAACTGATAGATATAAAACGTTAGCAAAAAATAATTTAACATGGTAAAACATACACTTTGTACACTTTGCAACCACTGCGTAATTATTGTAAGTAGTAAATTGGTGTGAATAAAATTTCTGATTGGAACTAAAAAAACCGTTTTTAAATGAAAATTGTTGTATTTTTCTGAATAGCTGGAGTCCTGTTGTGTCATTCATTCATAGCACAACTTTAATACTGTCAATATTACTGAGTAAACATATTTTCGTTAATAGTTAATATGACGCATGAATACGGTTTCATTTGTTGAACTACTCCAAAATAAATGACAAGTACAATGTTAACTGGTAGCTTAAGGCTATTCAAAGAGAAATAAAATAATCTACGAGATTATTTTAAATGTAAGTCACTTTTAATAAACTGGTTGGAATAATTTTTAACAAAAAAGTGAATTTGAGTAACAGTACAAAACAGACCGATCATATACTAGATTAGATCAATTGAGCTTAGCACACACACACACACTGTCCGTTTCATATTGTTCTGTTATCACAAAAATATTTTTCATTTCATCAGAGCTCTTCTAATGAGTCTCATACCAATACGAAACGGCCATCAAGTGCTTCCAATCTTCTAATGATGGTCTAACAATGATTGATTGATGATTGTAAATGTGTAAAAATACTAATATTCATAACTCTAATTGAAAATATACCTTTCGAATAAAAATGTCTATCACTTTTTGTGTTTATTTCTGCTGGTAAGTCGTTTTTATGACAACTTCACTACACAGATATCAGTTGTGTTGAGGTGCAACACTGTGAAATATTTTATTTCATGGACTGATTTCAACTAGATGACAACCACTGATATTAAGAATGTGATAGATAGTTGTTTCGTCATAGTTTGAGACTGTTCAGTTTAGCTTCACTGGTTATCACTTCTCAACAAAATGCAATCGTGTAAAGTTGAAGCATATGTGGGGGTTTTTGTTGGGGACGTTAGATCCCCAGAACTCACTTGATAAAGGTCCCTATTTTGGCTTTTATGTTTTAGCCAACTGGCTGATCAGCTGACCTTGAGTTTACACTTCCCACTCGGAAAATCCTTGACTATTAATGGTTGATGTATTATTTTAGTACGCTATTTTTGCGGCGTCTGTCTCATGTAAAAATAAACTCGATTTGCGTGCTTATGAACCTCATATTTTCTGGGTGCTTGCAGAATACACTTTCTATACCTTATCAAAACTTCCTGTTATAGTTAGCAGGGTCTGAAACAACGGATAAGTATGGCTTATCGTGTCACTGTACTATTTGTCTTCGTTCTCGTGAACTCATAATAGTTTCAAGTAAATCAGTTTTATTCCTGCGTGGAGTATTGCAAATGTACACTGCTGAGGTGGACATCCATGGCTTCTAGATTTTCAATAATGGTCTTACTTAGGTCACTTCATGATTTCAGCCATATTTTAACTTCAAGAAAGCAAACTTCAGACAATCAAATTTGTATTGGATGATGTTCAAGTTTGCACACTACATGAAAGAAATACTGTATGACTATCGTCAACTTTCACCACCAACACTAACTCCATTCTAACTACAATAGCCTCTTATCAAAGCTTGTATTACCATTGTTGTAAATCGAATTTACCATAACTTTGTCATCAATACATCTATCCAAAAATCACTTCATGTTTTTTCGTTCGATGAGTACACATAGAAGTGAGTTATGTTTATGGTGTAGTTTCGCACTCTCATTTGGATGTTTAGGTTGTGGAGCTTTCATTGTTCTTCTGAACACAACATCATCAAACAGAAGAACAATGAAAGCTCTACAACCAAAACATTCAAATCAGAGAACGAAACTCCACCACAATCATCCACCTGAGTTATAAATTTTCTCCACCATCTGAGTTAAGTTTATTTACGTTTATTGAACTATTCTAACTTTCAAATGAAATTAACTGAGAATTACGTCATCTGAAATAAAACCGATATTTCTTTTCGGTTAGCGTTTTTTTAGCAAGTTAGATTTCTACGAGATTGGGTCGTCAACTCGATGCCCAACCCTCCAACTTTATCCGGGCTTGGGACTGGAGGTAGCCGCAGAGTGACTCTCAGTGGTATTATGTACACATAAATATATAAATATTTATATACATATCGGTGTATAGATAACTTACGTTCCAAATTGATGACCTACAATACATTGCCATACTGGTCCATATAATTTATCAAAATTTTTTTTCATAAATATTGCAACATCTTTCTCAGTACGATAATAATCCAGCGCATGAACGCATAATGTTAATGCAGTTGTTTTACGTTCTGTTGGTAATTCATTTGCTTCTACAACAATATCATAATGTTTCATGATTGAATTTTAAGATAGATAACTTAAATAATGTGATTTTTTTCTTTTATATATTCTATATATATGTTAATTAAACTCAGTAATACATATATTTATATGTTTGATAACAACTCTATTTGACGTGAAATTGAGAACCTTTCACATTGATGACAATCATTTTTCTAAGTTGTCTTTTTAATATATATATTGAATAAAGAACTTGCTCTAATATTATTCGAGATTTAATTGATAGAATCTGTCAAAATACGAATAGTTATAACAATCGTGTGTATTGTCTGTTTAGATATTTATGTATACTTTTTCTCACTATACAAATGAAGTTTGTACAACACAATTCAACAGTTTATGTGTGTATGTGTGTGTGTTAGAATCATGTGAATTTGAGTGAATCATTATTACACCAGGAAAAAAATTAATTGGTTAGGCTATTCAAGGTGTATATTAATATTTTGAACAAATAGTTCGAATTATTGTACTTTGAAAATAGTAGAACGTTACACATAATAGAGCAAAACAAAAAAACAAAATTCATTACAGACAAATTAGGTGTAATGTATACGTAGAAATATGTATACACATGAGATGATTGTTTAGAAAATCAATAAAATGAACACGTCAAATTTCATTAGTGAGTGAAATTATTGATAACCTGTTAACTAGTGTTTGTACTCAATGAAAGTTTACTTAAAAGATTTTGTTGTCATCAAAAGTGGTGTAGTGTGTGTATTATTGATATGCTGAGCTCATAATAGGGCTTGGTTCAAGCGTTTGGACAAATTTTGACCTTGTCTATTATTTACTCATACATAGTCTTGGTTATCTTAATTTAAGTGTGTAGCTGAGCATGGCTCACTTCACTTTTTTTATTGCATGTCTAGTCTGTTGCTTGTCTGACTACAAATACTCAGTCAAATGTTTCATCACCTTGAGTTGGTTCGTCAGCCTGCACAACTTTGCTTCGCTTTGCCTTGATGCTTCGCATTCTTGTTTCTGGTAAGGTGAACATTTGCATGAAATGAATTCATCCGTAAAACCGTATTTGGCTTCTTATTACTGAGGTTGCACAAAGGATGTTCTTCTAAACATGTACGGGAAATGAAGGGAAGATTTATTTCATTGCATACTCAATCGGTCGCGTAAACTGGAGTCAGATCACGAGGCACTAAAGTAGGGAATAAAATAGACTACTTTAATGTGTAAAACAAATAAAAACCGAAGTAATGATCACTATAGAGAGAGATTTATTGAAATAGTTGAGTTATTTCTATCAACCAAGGTTATAGAAAGAAATTATATTTTCATGGCTTATTATAATTTTGATTATACTAAAAGTATTCTGCTTGTATTTAGATTACTCTAAAGAACTGACTTATAGTAAGTCAGGGAACTTAAGAATTATGCATCTCTACGCATTGGAACATTATCAAGTTTAAATATTTTATTAAAATTAATGATAATAATATTCATTAAACTATCAACTTCAGCATTAGTATTGATGCCTACAATGCTTTACACTACTTAAGTGTTTGGTGATATATACGTAGGAAATAACAAAGATAAACTGTTGTAGCGACGTGAAATAAGAGGATCACATGTGCATTACTTACTTATTTACGCCTGTTATCCACTATGGAGCATAGGCCGCCCATCAGTTTTCTCCAACCAACTCTGTCCTGGGCTTCCCTTTCCAGTTCTGTCCAATTTTTGTTCATTCTTCTCATATCTTTCTCTATTTCTCGACTTACTGAGTTCCTTGGCCTTCCTCTTTTCCTTTTGCCTTGAGGGTTCCAAGTGAGGGCTTGTCTTGTGACACAGTTAGGTGCTTTTCTTGTTAACTCCGCTGGAATCTGGTTTGTTTTCTCCCACAGTACGTTGTTACTGATAGTGTCTGGCCAACGAATCCGAAGTATTTTGCGTAGACAACTGTTAACAAATAAATGTATCTTCTGGATGATGGCTTTGGTAGTTTTCCAAGTTTCTAAGTATGACACTCCTTGGTATTAAACATCCATGACCCAACCAGGCTCGAATGCAGAACCTTCGAATGTCATAGTGATGATTGAATCATTACTATCACTTAGTCAGCGACCAATAGTTCGATTTTATATAAATTAATGATGTTTTAATGTGTAGATTGATCGATAAGAAGACGTGTGAAAGTAACCTAGACAGTATGGATTTGGTAAAGCTTTGGCAATTAAATCAAATTGTTCATCTTATTACCTTACAGTCAGTTTTCAGTGTTCTATGCAACATCATATATATACTTGCTCACTAGTCTCAATTAAGTTTATAAAAGATATGATTCTGACTATTAGGAAAACATATGAGTTGACAAATTGTAAGTACAAATGTTGGCTACAACTTAAAGTCATATAACATTTACATATGATGGATAAAATAAAAAGTTTATTTAAAAAGTTCTGAAATAAGTGAACACGAAGAGATCGATGTAAAAAAAAGAATGAATACAAATTTGTTACAAAAAGAGAATTGTAAATCAATTCATTATGATTAACTCCTTTTAGCTCTAAGTTAAGATTGACCTTACTATTGTAAATTTAAACGTATTATAGAAAAAATGTACTTTACTCAACGAATTATAATCAGACAGGAAAACTAAAGGACAATAACTGTGAATGAATCACTTTATTAGCCACGCAGTAACACTAATAAGTAAGAAAATGCAATACGAACTTTAGTGTAAATTAACTGAGTAGCCAGTTACATCAAAGCAAACATTTTGCATAAAAGAAGCATAATTTAAACCTGTAATTGAATATTGTCTTTAACGGTAAGATGGGTTCATTGCACAATTAAGGCTTCCAGCGGAAGACAAATTACTTACTTACGTACTCCTGTTACCACCGATGGAGCATAGGTCACTGACCAGTATTCTCCAACCTACTCTATCCTGTAATTCCTTTTTTAGTTCTGTTCAATTTTTGATCATTCTTCTTAGGTCTGTCTCTATTTCTTGGCGTAATGTCTTCCTTGGCCTTCCTCGTTTTCTTTGACTTTGAGAGTTCCAAATGGCTCTGTGGCGCTGACATATATTGCAATGTAGGCATTTAAATTGCCATTGATATTATATTGCACAGCGTTTATTTCCAAATCGTACTTACCATAGTATTTAACGTATACTAAGTTTGGGCTCTTTCTATAAGTTTTATATTTTAATCGTGAAGCTTTCATTCTATTTCTAGACAATATCATTTGCACAACACAGATATCAGCATGAACAATAGTGTTGTTTTCAATTTGATCGTCATCAGGCTTTGTACTCTAATATAAATGAATATTTATATGAAAATGTTTAACCAGTCAAGTCAATTTATTATGAGTCATTAATCACAATGAAATTGAATACATGACTACACATGGTAGGTGAAAGTACAAGTTAATAGCAGTAGGAAGACAGGTGTACTGATAGTAAGTAGTAAGAATAACAAAAACCTTTTGTTAACTGTTCAACATTAAAAATAGTAGGTCAAATGTGGATAAATAAACTTAAAATAATCATCACACAACATTATAACAATTACATAATAGGAAGTGTGTAGTTAATTAGACAGTGAAGAATATAAACGGAAATACCATAAGTTAATATTTCAAAAAAGAACTTATCTATGAGATGTGATGTTTAGAATAGTCAGTGGGAGCTTCACGATTAAACCATACAGTTCACAGAATAAATCAAGTCTCACACCTCACTGTGGGTCAAAAAATCTTCTCAACTATACAATAAAATTTACTCTCTATTCTTCTCTCTTTACCCAATAATTGACGAATACACACTTTTATATTGTAAACATTCCATTGAAGTCAATTTTCAATCATTCAACAGGTACAAATTTAAAAAAAACATCATTATTCAAAAAAAAATATTATTCACTTAATTTTTGTTTAAACTTAACTAAATGTGAAAATCGATTTTTAGTAAATTTCAATTTGTCGAAATCACACTATTTTGCAAAGTGTGATATCAGCGGAGGCTGTATATCACAACTTAGAAAAAAACACAACGATGCATTAAGTTTCATACACAAAATTAGGCGGTAATAATCGATTTAAACTAATTGAAATTATCTATCTGTGTATCTGTATTCTGTTTCCTAGTAATCAATAATTGGTGAACTTGTTGTAATCCATTCTTGCTTTTAAATATTTTAATATATGACATTAGCTCGTCCGAATATTCTAGAAAAGCTTCATTCTGATTTTTAATTAAAAGAAAATTAATTCAAGGTTGTTAACAGAAAGTACATTCACATTGAATTAATGAATATGATTAACATTTCCAATTATAAATAAGATAGTTTATCATTTAAGAACAGTGTTTATTTTTTGACAAAATTTATTGTATAAAAGGTGATTTCGTACATGTTACATCATTCACAACATTCAAACCATGAACAGTTAATGGTGTAATGGTGATTTTATAAATTTATTTAGATTTTCAACCACAAACGGATATTCACCAGATTACTATTGAAAATCAAGAAGCATTGAACAGCCATTTTGTTTAGGTATAAGACTTCTAAGCTATACATCTTGAAGACTTCAACACAGTGAATTGCAATGGCTTGTAAACTGTTGAGGATGTTAGATGCCCAGAACTCGCTTGATAAATATCTTTATTTTGGATCTATTTCTTGGACCGATCAGTTGACCTTGAGATCACATTTCCCACCAGGAAAATCCATGGCTGTGATTGGCTGCTGTGTATTTTAGTGTGCTATTTTCGTGACTGTCCCAAGTATGTTTCTATGATGTATAAATAAACCAGAGTTGTGTGCTTGATTATATTGTGATTGCTGGGTGTTTGTAGAATACACTTTCTACGCTATATCAAGACTTCTTGCAGGTACAGTCGGGTCAAGGGATCATAGTAGCCTACCTGCACGACGGTTTATTGTTTCTTCTCGTTATTCGATTAAGGTGAACATGTAATAGTTTAAGCATACTTCGAAACGTGTATAACATAAACCTCCTAACCATAGCACCAGGATTCATTCAAATCAACTATATTTTGCATGATGACAATGGGAGAGGTTGCACAAAATCTTAGATTGATTAGAGTTAGATATTAACTACTTTGGATGCCGGTTCAGTGGTCTGAAGGTTAGGCGTTCACAAGCATGACCGGGGGTCCTGGGTTCGATTCCTGTGAGTAGCGGAAGCTGTGGATGTGCACTGCTGATGAGTCCGATACTAGGACGAAACGGTTATTCAAAGCTTCCAGTTTTCTAATGGAGGTCTAACACAGATCAATTCATGATTTCAAGAATAAATATTTTCTT